TGACATCCCAGGGCTCTGAGAGGAGGGCGCGCTTACAGGGGTGGAGTGGAGGCCAGAGGACGGATGTCTACCAGGGCAGAGGCCGGCGGCCTGGGTGGAGGCTGGACTTGCAGCATCAGGCTCTGGCTGAGCACCCACCTAGGTGTCGCCATCTGTGCATGGGCTGGGGACACCCACCCTCCAGGGCTGAGACACTACGCCAGGCCAGAGCAGCACCCACAGGGTGCCCTGCGGGTCGGAGAGGCCAGCCTGTCCCTCGGCTTTGCTTGAGCTGCCCCTGCCCAGGCACCCGCCCTGCCTCCCTGCCCCTCGCCGCGAGATGGCGCTGGCTGCCCCAGGACGCCGAGGGTGGCCGTGGCTGCTCCTCAGCTCCTCAGCTTTCTGGCCCTGGCTCCCGGTTTTGCTTCTCTCCTGGCCAGGGACCTGCTGAGAGCGGGTCTGCACCCCAGCCCTGCGAGTCCTGCTGCTTCTGGCAGGAGGGAGGTGGTCTGAACCCCCCTGAGCGCCCCAGGGCCCTCGGTGACCTTGGGGTGTCCCTCGTCCTCCCCGGGCCCAGGATCCTCAGTGGGTCTCCCAGGCTCCGTGAGACCTGCCTGGGTAGGGCGCGTGGGAAGGGGCTGCAGGCTCGGGTTAGAGCCTCCCAGGCAGGGGAGGCGGCAGTACCTGGTTGCCAAGGTTACGACCACCTGTGAAGGGTACGCTGCCATGGAGACGGACCACCTGGGCGGTGAGGGAGGCTCCCGATGGGGAAGCCGTGGGAGGGGCTGGGGCAGGGAGGTGGCAGCCTGCGAGGCAGCGCCCTCAGGAAGGGTCAGGGAGGGGTGCAGACGGTGCAGCCTGCGGCCTCACCCTGGGCCCACTACCATGGCTGTCACCGGGCCCCTCGCCCTCTTCTCCAGCACAGTGAGCAGCCCTGCAAGGCGGAGGGGCTGCCCGGGCTGGGGGCTGGGGGCTCCCTCCGTGGGCACAGAGTCGTGGAGGGGCTGCAGAGTCAGGGGGCCGGGGCCCTCCCTCCGTGGGCAGGAGAGGCTGCAGGGGCAGTCTCAGTTGCCAAGACGCCTCCAGAAGCCTCAGCCTCGCCAGGAACTTGCTGTGTGACCTGGGCTAGGAGCCGGACCTCTCTGAGCCTGTCACCCATGGTACAGTGGGGACACTAAGGACAACCCCTGTGGCTGTGAGCGGGGCAGGGACCTTGATGGGCTGCCCGAGGAGTCGGGCCAGGGAGGGTGGGGACACCCCCAGCCCTGGCTGTAGGTGGGGCCGGGAGGCGCAGGCTGCAGAGCGGCAGGCAGAGGACTCCGGGACGGAAGCACCGCACATCTGCAGTCACAGGGATCGGAGTGAAAGGGGTGGCGGGGACCAGCAGACGCTGTGATGGTTGCATTGCTGGACTCCCATGGAGTAGACCGCGGTTCGAGTCCCAGACCTGGCAGTTTCAAATGCACACCGGGAGCCCGTGTGTACATGCCCAAAATCCCAAGGGACTGCAGCACGGCCAGCCCCCCAGGGTGACTTCTCGCTTTGTCTCTGTCTCTCTCAAATGAGTGCACACGCCTTACAGCAAAATTCTCTCTAGGAAGAAAGATGAAGGGCTAGGGATGGAAAGATACTCTAACTGTCGCAGGAGCTTGGGGGCCACAGAGCCTTCTAGATGGCAAGGGTTGTTGGCTGGTGGCCACACAGAGGCCAGGGGCTTCAGGGACGGTCCCCCGGCAGGAAATGACAGGCGGGTTCCAAAGGGACTCCTGGCTTGTACTCACTTTTATTTGGAAAGTTCCAGACACAAAGCCGAGGGCATCCTACCGGGAAGCCCGAGAACCCACCAGCCGTGTGGGTGAACCGGGTTGGCACTCACGCCCACGGGCCACGTCCTCCCCAGCGCACACCCTCCGTCATCTCTCGGTAAACAGCCGTGTCTCCCAAGGAGTGCCTGAAAAGCCACAGCCAGTGAGGCACCAGCAGAGTTGGCCACGGTTCGAGTCCTGGTCCCAGCAGCTTAAAACACACCAAGCGTGGGACCAGCAGTTGACATAATGGTTGTGTTGCTGGACTCCCATGTAGTCGACTGCGGTTCACGTCCCAGACCCGGTGGCTTAAATTCACGCCAGGTGTGTATGCGTGTGCGTGCCCAAGATCCCGAGAGGAGAGTGGAGGAAAAGGTATTGTGGTGTGGCCATCCCCTCTGGGGGTGATTTCTCGCTTTCTATCTCTCTCTGGTGCGTGCACGCACCCTACAACAAACATCTCTCCAAAGAAAACCAAAAAAGAAGGGTTGGCAAAAACTCATACATGGATGTTGGCAGTTCGAGTCCAGGACTGGGTGGCTTGCTTTCTCAATTTCTGTCTGTCTCTGGTGAGTGCCCATGCAAAGTAAATAACAACACAGAAAATTGAGACCAGCAGTTGGCATAGTGGCTACGTTGTTGGATTCCCGTGTAGTCAACCGTGGCTCGAGTCCTAGATCCGGTGACTTAAACTCACGCTGGGCATGTGTGTGCATGCGTGCTCAAGATCCCAAGAGGAGAATGGAGAAGGGATTGCTGCGTGGCCATCCCCCCTAGGGGGTGATTTCTCACTTTTTGTCTTTCTGGCGAGTGCATGCGCCCTACAGATAAAACCTCTTCCAAAACAAAACAAACCCCAGAAAATTAAATAAATAATTAAAAGAATTTCTGGGCTGGTCCTGTGCCCGGGGGCTTGGAAAACGTGAGTGTGCCCCAAATCCCAAGGGGGAACTGACGAGGTTACAGGTGACCACACCCCAGGGCTGCTTCCTCCTCACTCTGGGGAAGGCCAGACGTATGCAGGGTGGGGCGGCGTGGGGCGTTGGTCCCAGGGTGAGTTAGCTGCGGGTGGTGCTGACCCCAGGGTCCGAATCCCGGGTGGGGAAGCAGGTGGGAGGGGCACTGGCTCAGGCACCGGGGTAGAACCGGGCGCTGGGGTGGTGCAGGGACAAGGCCACAGCTCGGCCAGCCCGCCCCCGCCCAGGACTGGCCCTGGGGGCTGACTGCAGCAGAAGTGGGGAGGCCGGGACTCTGGAGCCCCGAGGCCTGGGGCACCCCTCGGCCGTCTTCTTGTGAGGAAGCCCCTTCCTTTCATGCACGCTCCCCCCACCCGAATGCGGGGAAACCGGCACTCCGTCCGCTGACCTGGAAAATGGCCATCCTGTCCCAGCTGGGGTGTGGACGCTCCGCGGGAGACCGACGCTCCGCAGGGCAGGGGCAGGGTCCATCCCCCCTGCCCCGGGATG